TTTCCAAAACACAGGCGCAACTGTAACAAACACCCAGCCCGGCTGGTTCCCTAGCAACACCAAAGCAGATTGCTAGGGCCAGCTGTTGGTCTTCGAACAAGCACCAACACAGGTCAGGCCCCCTCAAAAATCCCAAAAGCAATTTTGAGCCATTTGTTTACACACAGAGTGTCATATTTGGGTCAGATTAATGGCGTAGCACACTAGGATAGTTCTGCAAAAAAGTTCAGAACCGAGAAAAGAATAATGTATGGGCTGAAGTATGAAGTATAAAGAATTTTAAAAAATCTTTTGGAGGTTCAAAGTTCAAGAAAGAAGGTTTCCAAAATTATGAACGGTTTTAAGAGGGGGAGATTTTTTTCTCCTGCCCTAATGCTAGAATTTCAGGGGAATGAAGCCGATCAGAAGCCAGTCTACAACTGACAAGGGAATGGCTTCACTCAAGTCAGTTTTAGTCAGTTTAGTGTTACGCAGCTGTTTGAATCAATGTGGGAAAACTATTAAAGGCAATGTGTAGTTGGGATGTGCCAATGGCATACATGGTTTTCAGTTTATTAAAATAATAATTATTAATTCATGGAAGTCTACCAGTGGCTGATAACAGCTAAAACGGAACCTCCATATTCAGAGGCAGTGTTCTGCTGCAAACAAGGTGTTACAGACAAGCAACTTGGGAAGACCAAACCTTTATACACTGCTTGGGAGCTCCCTACAGATGGAGGAAACCTAATGCTGGATCTTATTCACCAAGGCAATCCTTTATGTTCTAGGTAAACACTTTATTATTTATTTAATTTGTACCCCACCCTATCCGACGAGTGGGCTCATGGCTAAGTTGCTGTCTGGAAATGCTGAAATCTGAAATGGCAGATCCTGAGGCCACTAAGCCAAGAGAAGTCTTGCTTCTAAATGTGGACAAGTACCCACACAGGTCAGTGGATACTACTGCATGACCGGTGGTGGCCTAAATGAGCACCAGTATCCATGGGACCCTGTCTGTGCCTTCCCAGGTGCACTCTTTGTGTATTGACTTCTGTGGGTTTAAGACAGAAGATGCATCACCACGTGTTCTGTTAACTTGCACCTTAGCAGAACAGGGCTATCAAGCTCTTAGTCACCATAAACGGGCCAATGTAATGTAGTGGTTAGCATGCTGACCCAGGACTGAAAACCTGGGTACACATTCACCCCTGCCATTAAGCTCTCGGGGTGATTTTGTGTCATTAATTTCCTCTTAGCCTAATCAGCCTCATGAGATTGTCATCAGGATAAAATGATGGGTTGGATCCAAACTGACTTCCCCACTAATGGAGATATCTGCCAATTCTCCCTTCCTGCTGCAGACTCCCTCCCCCATGTAATGCCTCAGGGCCCCATCCTCCAAGAGCAGCATTTCATGGCGATTAGTGAAGTTGAGCAAACTTTGGAGGACGACAGAGGGCAGAAGGGCCTGGCGTGATGTAGTCCATGGGGTCACAAAGAGTCAGAATCGACTGTGCAACAACACAGTGGGCTGCAGTGGGAGCAGGGAGGCAGGAAAGTCCCATTCTGCTGATGGAAAATTTAGTCTCTCCTCACCTCCATGGGCACATGGACTTGGGCTGCAGATTATCACTTTCTCACCTTTCCCATCACCTCTCACATCCTGTGGCCGTCCAAAATGCATTTCTTGGGTCCATGCAAACACTGTACTGGATCCAATCCTGTATCTCTTTGCCAGTCACAGCCCTCCAATTGTCACCTTCTGGCAGTACCCCCACATAAAACTGACCTCTTGGCATCTCTCTGAGCCTGGTCTTTAATGGTAGTGGTTTCCATCTTGTGGATTAGGGTTCTGGAGCAGATGAATGGGCATCGTCTTTAGAAGTGCTGAGAAGGCACGGTAAGGCCATCTTATTTGCCAGGGTTTTTAATATGGGTTTGAACTGCAGCTGTTTCTTTAGTGGGGGCATTTGATTTATTTATTTTATTTTTATTTACATTCAGCTTATATCCCGCTTGAACCCCTCCCACGGGGTCTCTGAGCGGCTTACATAGTTTATTATCGCTAACTATGGGCACATACATCATTGGGGCGGGATTGCCTACCAGCACCCAGTGGGATTCAGTTGGTATTTCCTCGGCTTGTCTCGGCTCGGCTCCCGGCTTCAGCTCGGCCTCTCCATCCACTCTTTTCCTTCAGACTTCTCGGTGGTCTTCTGGAGTCGACGGGCCATTCGTCGTGCCGACCGCAGCATGGCTCCGTCTCCGTCCCTCAGGCTCCGCCACGCCTGCGCCGCTTGGGTTTTGCGCTTCCTGGCTCCGCCTCCGCTCCACCGCTCGATGTTACGTCTTTTACTTCCGCTCACCACCTCGCCTGCTGCCGCCATTACACACCGCTCTGCCACCGCCACCGCTCGCCGAATCGCCGCTGCTAGAGTCCCACCTTACCTCCCAATGGAGGAGGGTGCTCCCTGCCTTCTAAAGCAGGTACCCATTCATCTACTCGCAGTTGTTAAGGCTTTCAAACCGCTGGGTGAGTGGGAGCTGGGACTAGGGCCGGGTGTTCACTCCTACAGGCTGTTCGCTAGATGTTAAGGCAGGTGCTTTTGCTCCCTGCGCCACCACTCCCTTGTTTTTGCTGTTTTAATTTGGATTGTTTTTGCTGTTTTAATTTGGAATTGTAAGCGGCCTTGAGCCACGAAGGCAAGATGGGTTACAACTATTTATACAAATAACTGTATACTGGCCTGTGCTCCTTAGAGGAAGGATGGGTTAAACATGCAATAGAAATGTAATAGATCTTACCTAACTATTAAACATAAGCCTAAGAGAAAAGCAATTTTGCAGGAAAAAAACTGAAATCCATAGGATTTCTCAGACCGAAACTGAAATCCCAGGCTTTGAAAAGTCCAGAGTTTCTTGTTTACATGTTTGGCACAAACATCACATCATAGATAAAAAAGCAGAGATTTAAAACACTTCAATCTGAATTTGAGCTACAAAGATCACGTAGTCAAAAGTCAGCTAGGCATTCATCAGTGGCCAAACAGTAGAATTTCACTGCATGACAAAACGTGTGCAAAGTTTTGGTTTCAGCACTACAGAACAGACAATTCATCAATATAATCTCCTCCAAGCATCCACCTGGCCTGGTAATACTTTCCAGTAAAAAGCTGTTTTGGTAATCTAAGCGTGTTTGATTACATCATTTAGCTATTTCTGTGTCCCTCTGAGACTATATTGTGGACAAAAGTTAGAATTTCATTAGCACAAGATGTGGACCACCAGTGATGATGTTTCCTCAGCATGAATTCACCAAATGCCTTGCATCACCAGGGACCACTGCCAAGGGCATTTGAAAGGGAAGGAGAAATGCTTTAAGGGATGATTCCATACCATCTTTCATTTTACAGAAACCCAGCTAGCCAAGTTCATCAAAAACAGAAAGAACTGGGCAAGCAGCAACAACAACAAAACCACTGTATTCCTTAGCTGGTAGAGGCACTTTCACTAAACTCTGCTCAGCATCAGCATCATAGTAGGACTAGACTACCTGGAAGGACTGCTCAGGGTTCCTGCTTGTGGCGCTGCATCCAGCATCTCAGGTCCTTCATTTGCTGCCCCCCCCCCCCCCAAGAAGTCAGGAGATAAACCAAGAAGAATTTCAGGGAAAGCTTCCTCCATCCAGTCCCACCCCCTGGATTTTTCCCCCTCAATGGAAAAATTGGAAATTTGGGGAAACACTGGAAAAGGTTGTGTGGGCTCTTTTTGTAGCAGGAACTCCTTTGCATATTAGGCCACACACCCCTAATGTAGCCAATCCTCCAAGAGCTTACAGAACTCTTCTTACAGGAGCTACTGTAAGCTCTTGAAGGATTGGCTACATTAGGGGTGTGTCACTTAATATGCAAATGAGTACCTGCTACAAAAAGAACCCTGCAATACTTTTGATACGTTTTCTCGCCCTCATAACGTACTATACCTTTTTATAAGAATATACAGTATTAGATCATTCCTATGTATATGATGAACATGACATATACACACACACAGCATATTATCAAAGATAGGGTAATTGTTTAAATGTCCCCAATTCTCTACATAATATGCTGTGTCTATTATCATACTATTGAAGAATTTGTTCTCAACATTAGACATTTTAAATTTCATATTTCAGCTTTGTTCATAGAAATATCTTAAGTTCTTCTCTGGGTGAAGCTGTTAGTTGATTTGGTTGACTGTCATTCCCGTCTGCATTGCATTTTTTTCCTAATGTATTGGATTATTATTTGTATCACACTGTTTTTACTGCATTTTTAAAAAGATGCTATACTCCACTTTGAGTCTCAACAAGGAAGTAAATAAACAGGGCTGCTAACTTTAAACCGCTGCTGGTTGATTTTGTGCTGGTTGTTTGAGTATATTGTGCACCATCTCATGCACATTGTTGGGAGAGGCAGTATTTAAATGGTGAAATAAATTAGAATAAATAATAAAACCAGCAGAAGTGGCAGGAGCTCTCCTGGAGCAGCAATCCTATGCACACTTACTTAGGAGTAAGCCCCACTGAATTCAGGCCTTGTTTTTGTGTAAATGTGCGTCAGACCAGCCTGTCAGTTATGTAGTCCTATTCGAACGGCAAACTAATGTCAAAGGAGAACAGAAAAAAAGGTACCAGACCAGTCAGGCGCTGTGTCGGGCAGCAAGAAAGGAAGGGAGAGACAGAGTCTCATTCTCGCTACAGGAATCTCCAACTCAGGGTTTTGCAAACTTGTCACCTTTTAAAGCTTTCCTCCTTGACCTTTTGGCTAGAAACTTGCTGCTTCATTTTAACAAAACTGGGATTCTCACTGAATGCAGGCACTGAATATTAAAGGAGTACAGTCCACAAAACCGCTATCTGTCAGTATCAAACAGCAGAAGTGGTGTCCCTAAGCTTCACCCGCTAACTGTTCATTGATAAAGATGGGTACTGGGGCTCATCCACTAGCCAAGAATCCACCAAAGAACCAGAAAAATGTATATCAATACATTATTTATTCACTTTCCCCCTCTGAGCCAGACAGATGTGGTTAACAGACGGGCTCTCCTTATCTGCCATAGAACAATCCGGTCAGAGCACACACGAGACTAAACACAGAGGGACGAGAGGGGAGCCCACGGCAGGCGGGCACATCCGGCTCCATCACATGGCAAAGAGGATGAGGAATGCCACCATCAGGCAGAACAGCCCCATGGCCTCGGACAGTGCAAACCCTAGGATGGCATAGGAGAAGAGCTGCTGCTTCAGGGAGGGGTTTCTGCAAGGGGAAGAGAGAGAGACGTATGAGTGGGACATACAGTGGGCTTCTCCTACAGTATCAGCATCTTGCCTGCTGTGAGCCATCGTAAGGGACAGGACTTGAGGGACACCACTCCTAACAGCATGATTTTAGGAGGGGAGAAAGTCCTAGTTGCCTAGCCTAACACAGCCTTGCAATAAGTCGATCTCTTCTGCCATACTTCTACATTCTGCAGAGCGTGCAAGACAGAAATGGCTCAGGGGGGCATTTTTAATAAAAGGAACAGAACCACAGTGGAACAGAACAAGCCTTTATAATGGAACAGGACTGGCATCTACTGCTGCAATGATTATTGTAGGCACCACCTTACTTTTATTGCACGTTACTTTCACACCAATGCACGGCCTGAGTTCGACATCGCAAAGTGGTTATCAAACAGTTCCAGGGAACCCCAGTTTTCAATGGAAGCTTATCCAGGGTTCCGGCAACAAGAGTAAACAACTTTGTAATTCAACTTTTTGCATGGTTTATAGTAAACTGTGCCTCAGGTAGTTTGCTGCTTGTATTGTTCTCTAACCCCAGTTCTAATGCATTGTTCATTGGCTATTTTATGCTGTCTGACTGCTGTTTTATATTCTGCAGTCTTCCTTGATCAGTGACAAAGGCAGGCTATAAATATAGTAAATAGGGCTTGAAAGAAACTAACAAAAAAAGACCAAAGCACTTTTCTACAGCATGCATTCTAACAAAGAAGCCGAGAAGAGTCCCAGATTCAGAAATCCAGACATGAAACAGTTCACCGCCATCTCCCCCTAGCATGGATGTGGTCTGATTCCCACCTCTCTAGAAACTCCTATTTACAGACAGCAGCCAGGGGTCAGCACAAGAACTGAGTCTCTGGCTTACTGAACCAGGATGTGTGCCTCCTTCCAAATCTGCAAGCTGCCCTTTCTCAGACTGATGGAGGGCCCTTTCAAGGACGGCTCAGTAATCCAACATACCTGGCATAGCCAATGATGAGACTGCCAAATACGGTCCCGATGCCAGCGCCGGAGCCAGCCACACCCACGGTGGCAGCGCCAGCACCAATAAACTTGGCAGCAGTATCAATGTCCCTGGAGATGGCACTCGTTTGGAATGCCCGGCGCAACACTGGCAAGAGCTCATTCCGCGTAGCTGAGATGCAGCGGGGCTGGGAGGAGGAAACAGGAAAGGAAAGTCTGCAGCCAAAAGTGACACTCCAGAGCTTTCAAATGGCCCGCACAAATGCACGGGCAGCCCTTCAGAACGCAACAGTCATTATTACCACTCGTTGCTGTGGCTTGCCTGGTGCTTCCGCACCAGAGCTGCCCAGTACATGGTTTGAGTTCAACATCATATATACGTACATATGTGCCATCAAGTCAAAAACTGACTTAGGCGACCCCGGCAAGGGCCTTTCGAGGCAAGCGAGAAGCAGAGGTGCTTTGCCATTGCATTGGTCGTCTCCCATGTTCCCATCCAAGTACTGACCCTGCTTAGCTCCTGAGATCGGGCTATACCATATCATTCCACATCCCTTGACATCATATAGTGCTTATCAAACCCCTCTAGGGAACCCTGGAGCTTCCCTGGAAGCTTATCAGGGGTTTCTCGATAGTGGCAGACCCCACATCTGAAGAAGTGCTCTTTTAGAGAGGTCAGCTCTTAACTTCTCTGAAAGCTCAGGTTGAAAAACATGTTGTTAGTCTTGCAGGTGCTTCACTGGGACAATGCTTTGATTCCACACCTTATACGCAGACAGCTCTTTCACCTCACAATTCCCGCTCGTGACATATTGTAATTAATAACCAAAAGCAAAATCCTGTCATTTCTCACTCAGTTAAAACAGCTCTATGGTATTTCCCAGGAGAGCCCCTGCTAGCTTCCCAATCAGTAATCCTTCCAGGGGCAAAGTTACCTCTCACTTGCACACAGTGCCTAGAAGCCACACAGATTTA